GGCAGAAAGGGTCGTTTTTTCATTTTTTTTTTTTTTGTCTTCTGAATGGAGGACAATTATGCAAAGGGAAGAATAGTATGGGGTCCGAGACGGGGCCAGGGTTGAAAAGTCGCGAAGCGGTTGATCCTACGCTCAATTCCGTGCCCGCCACTTGGTTTCCCAGTCGACGGTCCAGACTACGTCGGGGCCTAAGCTGAGAAAAACAGCGAGTTTGACTGGCCTGCCATGCCTTTAACCAAACAAAAATGTATATCAAGTAGAAAACTGTCTAAAAAATCTCAAATTGCGCAAAAATGGCGATTTTTGGTCGAAAATCGATATTTTTTGTATTTTTAATGAGATTTTGTAAAATTGTGTTTTCAGGAATAATAAAAAGCAGTTTAAAAACAGTTTCAGATTGAAAATATGAAAATAAAAGGAAAAAATCTGGTCCCCCCCCCCCGATAACGCGATAGAACCAGATAGAAAATTTCAAACGATTTGGCTCCCTGCTGCCAGCTATCAAGACCCACGGGCGATTCTTGTCACGATTTCGCTTGCGCTTCGGCGGCGGGGTGAAGGGCGGTGGCGCCGGCGCGGGCACGGGCGCAGGTGCAGCCGGGGGTGCTTCGGCAGGCTTCTTCTTGAACCGGCAGCAGCTCCGCTGCGTAGTCGTCGACCTAGGCGGACAGCTGCAGGGCATGCTAGCGTGGATCGTTAGGTAGGGCTGCAGACCCCCAACCGCAGACCCCCCGACCCGCATTTTTTGGTCGCCAACTCTTACGTGCTCCGGGGCTTCGGCTGCTTCACCGCCTCGCTGCCGCCAAGCTGCGGGGTCGTTGACCTGAAAGAATCGGCCTAGAGCAGGCTAGCAGCGTTTCTTGGCTGTTTTGGCAGCAACTTACGCGCTGGCAGGCTTTGGCGGTTTCTTCGGCTTGCAGCAGACCATCCAATCGGAAAGCTATCGTCAAAGTAGCTTTTCCGGCCAAAATTTATTGTCTTGGCATTCCAAATTGCGAATGCAGAACTAAAGGCCCAAAGAGAGTGCGAGAAAGAGAGAGAGAGAGCGAGAGAGAGAGAGAGTGCGAGAGAAACCATCATGTCTTTCAAGACGAAAACCCGTTTATTCCACTGGACACCAATTGACAGTACACAAACGATCGCAAATTTTTATGTAAAGATCAATAACGCAAGGAAAATCCGAAGTTGTAATGAACACATACATCTTAAGAGCATTTTTTAAGTGATTAAGCAAGCGTCGAGGTCAAGGTCGTTGCGGGCAGCGAGCAGAGAACTCTTCATCGAATCTGAAAAAGACATGTGAATCTACAGGGAAAATATTACCCGCTAAAAGGACCGAGTCCAAACGCTGCGTGAAAACCGACGGGCCACCTGAAATTTGCCGGAAATGTGTCAGAAAATTTTAGCGACCAAATTAGGGGAGACGCTAAAATCCCGACATGCTATGTGAGAGATATTGCCATCCAACTAGCGTCAAGAATATGCCGGGATCCTGGCTGGAATTCCGCACCAAGACTGAAGCCGCTCGTTGTCCTCGTAACGGTGCAGGTGGTAGTACTTGAGGGAGGAGCAGCAAAATTGGAACTGCCCGCAACTCTGTAAAACAGCGTTTGCAATGATTCTTTAGGAAAGGGCAGGCGAGCAGAGATTTTTAGGGAAAGGGCAGGCTAGCAGTTACTTTTTAGGAAAGGGCAGGCTAGCAGATATTTTTAGGAAAGGGCAGGCTAGCAGAGATTCTTTAGGAAAAGGCAGGTTAGCAGGGATTCTTTAGGAAAGGGCAGACGAGCAGAGATTATTTAGGAAAGGGCAGGCGAGCAGAGATTCTTTAGGAAAAGGCGGGCGAGCATGGATTATTTAGGAACTGGCGATTTTTTTTCCTTCCAAAGAATTTCCTCGTAGATTCCCTTACCCCGATGCATCTGGCACGTTGCGAACGTAACGTTCTGAGCTTCCCCGTCATCATGGCACCGTCCCAAATCTTGACGGGATCTATGTCGATCACGTCCATCAGCATTTTGAGCAGCACCACCACGCCGGCCCTGTTCGCCCCGTCGTCGTCATGGATGAGAATGGTCCTGAAGGGTAGGCTAGCAAAAAAACAATCGAGGTGACCGACTTCACGTCTTCCAAGTAGATGAGCAGCTCACACAGGGAAAGAGTGAGCTTCGGTTTGCTCTCCCTGGTAAGAATCGGCCAGCCATCGATGAGGAGATGGGTGACTGCGAGAGGAGCCGGATCTCCGTCTTTGGTCACCACGAGGTGACGGGCGCTGACGGAAAGCGCAGTCACCCAATGCTCGAACATGAACTACAAAACGGAGGGGTTTCTAAGAACTTCCTAAGAAATTCCCGCTAGCCTGCTGTTTCCTAAACAATCTCTGCTAGCATGCCCTTTCGAAATTTTGGTCAAAAATCGATATCGTTAATCGAGAGTTTTTGATAAAAATGTGTAAAACACTTCCACTATTTATGTTTGAAAAATTACATCTTAAGAAAAAAGTTGCCCCCCTCCGATAATGCAAAAGCACCAAATTACCTTTCCGGTCAGCTGGTTCTCAACCTTGTGGCGTCCAATCTGCTTCTTTTCGCCTTCCGTTTCCGGGTAGTACTTGGCCCTGGTAGGCCCCTGCTCCTGGTCCTTCCGCTCACGGTCGTGCTTGTCTTCTATCATCAAAATGCACTAAAAAAACGATGCTTAGGTTTAGGTTAGGCTTAGGCTTAGGCTTAGACTTAGGCTTAGGCTTAGGCTTAGGCTTAGACTTAGCCTTAGGGGCTTGGAACTTAGGCTTAGACTTAGGCTTAGGCTTAGGCTTAGGCTCAGGCTTAGGCTTAGGCTTAGGCTTAGGCTCAGGCTTAGGCTTAGGCTTAGGCTTAGGCTTGGGCTTAGGCTTAGGCGTGGGCTTAGACTTAGGCCTCAAAACTCAAGCGTCAATACTCCTGTGTGTCGACCATCCAGGATTTCGAAATTTGCATACACAAATCTCACAGAAAAACCCCGACGTCTGATCCAAAAAGTCACGAAATACCTACAGTAACCCGTTCCTGGAATATCATCGCCCAAAACGTAGCGTAGTCGTCCGCCACCGGATCTTGGGTCATGATATATTGCTGATCCGAGTCGGGTAGGCGGACCCAATTGGCATTGTAGAAGCCGTGGGGGTTGTCCGCCTCTTTCACATGGACACGCGTCGCATCGAAGCAGGGGGTTGTCTAGCAGAGAGAATTTAGGAAGCGGCAGAGTGGCGGAGATTATTGAGGAAAGGGCAGGCTAGCAGAGATTCTTTAGGAGAGAGCAGCCTATCCAACTCCTTGTACCCACTTACCCCATATTTAGCAGGTCCCCTGTAATGCTGCCACAGGTTCGTCTTTTCAATTTCCTCGTGCATTTTCCAGGGTCGAAAAGCCAGCTTCCATCTCTGGAATCGAGGATCTAAGCCTAGAAACTCTTTCTCGCTCGCTCGCTCGCTCTCTCTCTCACTCTGGCTCTCGCTCTCTCTCTCTCTCTCCTTCCAATTCACCTTATAGTCATTCAGAGGCAGCTTAGCGTGACGATCAGCCGGCGAAGTGTACCTTCGCATTTTCGGCTTCGGCTTGGGCATCCTACAGCTTGTATTTTGCATAAAAGCGGATAGACCAAGGCATACCTAGGATATCTTACGATCAAACGGCAATCGCTGAAGCCCACCTGGCGATTCGCTCCCAATCGGACTATGCGTAAATTCACGGACGTTGCGCGAAATTTATGACTTGGAGTCAAATTACAGCGGATGCAGAGAGAGAGAGAGAGAGAGGGGGAGAGAGAGAGAGAGAGAGAGCGAGAGACCGAGAGAGAGAGTGGGAGAGGAAGAGATATTTAGCTTTTTTGGACATTCCTTGAGGAAGTTTTTAGGAATCCACTCGACGACGCCAAAGTCCGCTTCAAAACCATCAAAAAGATCTGAGATCCTCAATCTCTCTGGTTCTCTCGCTCTCTCTCTCTCTCTCTCTTTCTTTTTCTCTGTTTCTTTCTCATTCTCCCTCTAGCTCTTTCTCTCTCGCTCTCGCACGCTCTCTCGCCCTCTCTCACTCTCACGCTCTCACTCGCTCTCGCTCTCTATCTCTCTCTCTCCTCTCTCTCTCTCTCTCTCTCTCTCTCTCTCTCCTATTCTCTTTTTCTCTGTTTCTCTCTCATTCTGTCTCTAGCTCTCTCTCGCCCTCTCTCACTCTCTGGCTCTCTCTCCAATCTCCTCCAGCTCTCTCTCTCTCTCTACTCTCTCTCTCTTGTCACAACTTGATCTGCACCCGGAAAACTCGGTCCAGCTGCACTTTTTCGTATAGTCATTTCTTCGCCCCTCCATTTTC